ATTTTTGCTGGACTGTACCGAATTACCCCAACTTACTCTATCAAAGGTGAATCTTAAAAATGAATATACAATCTTGTAGAGAATTAAATTGTCTATCGTTTGGTATAGTAAAGACTTTTTTTTCTGAAACAATTTGTAACTTCATCGTTCTAGATATCGTCACAGAACTTTAGTTTTGCAGTTTATTGCAAAGCTAAGCTCATGTGTTCGAATCTGTACTTGTACAAAATTGATTTTGTGTTTTTCGATAGTTTTAGTCTAGAATACTATAATGGAATATATTCCGCTTGTGTTCTGACAGAATAAAGCTTATATCAACTTGTGGGATACCCTTTATGCTGAACCGTCTACATCTTCCACTGCTTCATACGATGATACAAGATTACCAATCACACGGACACTTATAAGATTTGTATACTTTGTACCGATAAAATATTCATATTCCAGTATCACGCTCAGTAATAATATAAATGAAATTTAACTTGTTGAGATAATGAAGAATAGTGTCAGAGATATTTTCATTGCTACCAGAACGTTAACTAAAATCGATAAATCGTCTCAAATTAATAAATTTTAACTAAAAATATCAATTTTGATGTGTTTACATCTTAGAAGGCTTTTGGAGAGTAAAAATCACTCTTTCTATTATACTGAAATCGAAATTATGAGATCGAGTAATAAAAATGAACTTTTTTGTAAGTTTTTCTTTTAGTCTCTTACTCTTCATCAACGAGAATGGGAAAAAAATTTAACTGAACGATCTAAGCAGATGTAAGTTAGAACAAAAGTGTGTTGAGCTAAGCAAATAAGATTCACGTTTACCTATACCTGTTATATAATTAAACTACCGGATGAGTGATATTAAAGTAAGCTACAGTTACAGCTACAGTTGATAAGAAATCTATTCAATTTTCATTATTGAGAGTTAATTTTCTAAGAGAAAACCCCCTAGAAAATACACATTAACTTTTCATGAGTGCCATGACACAAACATTCTACAGAAGAGACAGACAAAGAGAGGACAGAACGAATGTATCGTATGCAAAGTATTCTCTCAGCAACCTTGATGAAAAATGATGGCTACTTAATTCGAAAACGCCTGCAGTATACTGCAGGATGTGCTTAGGATGTATACATCCTAAGCAAACAAAATTTTCCTGGCGTTGGTTTAATCTACATTAAATGGAGCATACGTCGGTAAATGTTACTTTTAACCTAGATTAAGGTAACTCCAAAAAATGTTTTTTTTGCTTGGGATGTACGGTGGTTATATAAGTCTTTCTATCAAAACTAGAAAACCATCCGTAAATTATGAAACTTTACATCGCAATGCTCTATTCACTAATGATATAAAAGTATGAATGAGGAAATATGCCGTTTTGTATACAAGTAATGTCTGATAAGAAAGAAAATACGTTTCTTTTAAAAAAAATCAGCAGATAAAAACGAAATCTGTTTCTTACGAGAGCTTGCTCTATTGTACAATTCGATGAGCTCTATCTAACCATTTCAAAAAAAAGAAAGAAAAACGCAAACTTTTATGTGAACAGACCACTTAAACGTCATTAGGATGACATAGTAAAGATTTTCGATAAAGAATTAGTAAATTTTTCACTTTAAAACATTTCAAGGTGTTTTATCCATGTCACAATTATTTGTTAATTCTCTTAGCCAGCACTGTTTTTCAAAAAAAAAATCGACCTCAATCTGTGAAGAATTTTTTGTAAACAACTTGAACTGAATTCTGTAAGTGTATACTTATCTAATGGTGTTATTTTTAATAATTCAAATCATTTTTTTTCTCCATTTATTTTTTAGAAAATGATTAAATTTTATAAATTGAGATTATTTCGAGTTATATGCACTTGTTCAATATTTTCATGTTTTATTTCATTATTTTTAAATGGTGTTAATGATGACGATCTCGTCGTAACAATTCATAAATCCGTAGATTTCAATTTACATTGTATTCTAATTATCACAGAAACAAATAAACAAGATAGTGTAAAACTCGTACGTGATTCATGGGGGATGGCAACTAACACAAATTATGTTTACATCAACATGTTCTTTTCTTATGTAATTTTCTTCACCCACCTTCGCTTTAAGTATTGAAATCGTTTCTGAATAGTGACAACACGATGTCATCAACAAAATTTCTTTTTGATACAATACAATAATTCAGAAGGTGAGATTTTCATTTGTCGTCTTCATCCTCCTCACCATTCCTCTCCTCCCACTTGTCTTTTAGACACATTTATTTATAAAGAATATTTTCAGAATTATCCAATACCAGGCTACCTGCCTATTCTGTCATATGGACAAATATCCAAAACTTTGTTCAACAATCTCTTTCAAAGATTCAATCTACTGATATTTTAATCGTTGTACCTGTATCAAGTTTTGTATTTAAAGATCGAATTCCATTTGTTCTATCTAAGTTTGATGCTGACAAACCAATATTTTTAATTAAAAACCACTTTCAGTCAAATTTAAACCTGCTAACAGAATTAACATCAGCAAACACTACACTAACCAATGTTTACATAATCAATTCATATGGGATAAAAACAATTGCTTCTGATTTATTTTCTACATGTCTCATTCGTTCTTATCCCGGTGCCAGAGAATTAAGATTTTGGATTTGCGTTGAACAACTATTACAGTCATCAATTCCATGCAAGAATAATTGTTTTATTAAATATGATAAAAATACATTAACTATCGATTCGATTAAAAATGGTTCATGTTCAAATAGCATAAATCGAACAGATTGCAAATCCATATCAGTTATTTATCCGGTATCCGCAGATGATATTCTAACGTTGGAATATTTTAGATACAGAATTAATTACTATCATGAAACCTTGTAATTAATTTAAAAATTGTATTATCTGAGAAAAGTGATCGAATTCATTATTCACTTACACGATTTTTTGTTGTGTTTTGAGCTATCCATTGTCAACAAAAACTGATGTTTGTTCAAAATAGCTCAGAACTTTACTTACCATTTTTATTAAGAGTAATAGCTTTCAAAACGTGATTGCATATGTGAGTGCATTCGTGCCAAAATTAGTCGAAGGCCTCAGCTCACAAATGAGACGTGAGTTCATTCTAATAAATGATCTTATACTCAGATTCATCATATCGTTATAAAAACTCCGTTTTGGTTATTGAACGAGAGAATATTTGAGTGTGCAATGCTGTTCTCTAGAAAAAATGGATTCGCTATGACGCCTAAACGATTTCTGACCTCTTAGTGCTTGCGTCTTCATTCTCTGATTTTTTGGCAGTTTTGTAGATGAAAAAATTTTGCGTTTAGTATAAAATACTAGACAAGGTTTTGTATTGAGTATGGAAAATTCAAGAACACCTACAAAACAAATCATCAAAATACCGATGATACGATAACAGCAACAGCGGTATCACTTGAACAAAAGAAACAAGAAACAAATAGTGATAACCATTTGAATGAGACTAATCAAAAGAAAAGAAAAATCAAAAGCTAGCAGTCAAGTCATCCAATGACACTTAGACAAAGAATACGGATTAGAAAACAAAAGAACGGTTAACACGTTATTTTCTTATTTCTTTTTTCAGACTATTTTAATTTATGTACTGCACGCGGTAAAAAATAAAGTGTGCCTGCAGCACACTGAATGTGCACATTACGTTGGACTGTTTTTGCACACTGAAAATGGCTTGTTCAGTGTGCTTGTAACACACTGGAATTGCACATATAGCTTCCACAGACAGAACCAGAAAAAAGACCGAAAGGAAGAAGAATTCTTCCGTTTTTTCCATAGAAAAATGAAAGATGAAAATTCAGATTACACACTGACAATTTGCACATCACTTTGGACTCGAAATGCACACTAGCGGGCACACTTAATTTTTTACAGTGCACTTAGTCCTTATCTTTACTTTTTATGTATATAATATAATATATTATATAAACAACCTTTTCCTTCAACTTTCGTGATTTTTAATGGAGCATTGAGGTTTACTTCGCTGGTTTTTGAATTTTTTAACTATTTTTTATATTTTAAATGAACAGTTGCGTTTCAGAGTTAACAGGCAGTTGATATGAGCAATAACATGTTTGTATCAGTCTGGAAGAAATTGATTCTATCTTTTCTTTCTCTTTTTTGACAATTATGACTGTGTCTGTTTTGACACTTTCTGTTAAAGGACACAGTAAAAGATCCCATAGAAATCAGGCTCCTCTCAAAATCTTTTTCTTTCAACGTAGATGGATAGAGAGTCTAGTTGTATGTAACTCTCCATGTCAGCTTCCAAAATATATTTTTATAATGGAAAAATTTCTGAACCTTCTTATTTTTCTGAATATTCTCAAATAATTTTACTTTGGTAAATAAACCAAATAGCAGGCTTTCTCTTGTACATGAATCAATAGAGCTCGTCGAGTTAATCAATAATATGTATAAATCAATGACTGAAAATACTAGGAAATATAAGTTTTAAACAAAAAACACTTTGTCATGACCGACATATATTACCATATTTCGTAGTATTTTATTTTTTTCACCACAAAGAAAACTGACTCGAATGACCTGTTACTGACGATTTTAGCAAAACGTATTTTTCTTCGTCAAAATTCGTCTCAGGGGCCACAGGCACTTTTATAGTTTTTTGCTTGTGTGGGGAATCTCATATGATTTGTTAACAAAGAAAAAAAGTTTTGCTAAAATCATGAAGAGCATAAAACGGAAATCTCTATCTCTATCGTTAACGATGACGATATTATTGACTGATGTACTCAGTTATCAATTTATCCACGCATTGACTATTGTGATATTACTTTTAGTAATCCTCTCAATACTAAATCTAAGCTGCAAAAACATATTAGCTTACTTTTGCACTAATAAAAACAGTTCAAAGTTCAAGTCATGATATGATGAAGTCAATAACAACTTCTGTCACATGGTGTAATTAATTTCATTATCCATTTCGCATGTAGAAAGTAACGAGTTCTCATTATGTCAAATGATACGGGTATGAAAATAAGTAAAAATCTATCAAAACCACCAAAAAACTTCATTCATACAACAAAAATATCAGACAGTGTTCGCTTAAAAACTTCTGACCCCTTGAAAGATGATAATACTAAAAAACAAACGGCGTCATCAAAAATACTTGTTAATCCCTCGACAGAGCAGCAAGAGATTGTTGTTACTTTAGAAGCTAATTCACTTTTATCAGCAAAAACAATCGCAAAAGAAGATGATAAAACTAGCGCTAGTTCGACTGTACATGTGTTACAAAAAATTGAAACAACTCAGACTGGTCAAACTATTAATAGTGAACAAAAGTCACTGTCAAAAATTCATGTTGTCAAACAACAACCATACACAAGTAAATTCACTAAAGACGTGTTGAACGAAGGAAGTTTAATGTACGCAACTCCTGAGAAACAAGTGGATCGTATGCAAGAAAGCTTAAAACAAAATGTAGATGCAACCGTTAAAGGGATGCATAATCAACGAAAATCGGTGAAGGCCATATCACCGATGGATACAAAACGTGTGACATTCGAAGAGGATGCTCGTATACAAATATTATTGCCTGCCTCACACAAAATGGAGGCGCTCAAATCAACATTAACATCAGTTACTGCTGAGAATGGAGAAAAACTGGACGACAAACGACGCATGAGTAGACTCTCGAGAGTCAGTTCTCGACTAGACGAGGAAGATTGGTATCCAAATCAAGATGATCTTCCCGATAATTCAATGCGATATGATACATTTACATTGAATGATTCCGAATCAATAGGATCAGTTAAGCAAGAATTAGAAACAGTAGGTGAACGTCAGTACTTCTTGATAAGCATACAAATATTATTTATCATTTCTTAACTTGAAGTTACATCAACTGCCTGACGATGTTATGTTATCCGATTATATTCCTGATGGTTTTGGAAATTTAGCATTAGAAGTTGAAGAAGAATTTATGACAGATTTCTTAGAAGAATTTGAGTATGATGTTGCACAACGAAAACGTCCAAAAGTACCGATCTCACGTAGATATGCTAGTCAAACCTCGTTTTCTTTTCTAACATCTGATGTTTTGTTTAGATCGAACACGAGAAAGTTCAATAACTCGTTCGCCATTAGAATTATGGCAAAAAGCTCGTTTAGCCATTGCTATTCATTTATTTAAAATTCAACATAAAACTAGAAAGCAAATGATCAATGATATTTTTTCAACGACTAAAGCTGATGAACGTGCAACAAATCGTATAACATTTGATGAAATTAATAATTTTGAAAAATTAATTGAACAAAAAGCACGTTTAGACGAAAGATGTTTACAATATGGTTTAGTTGTTAAACAGAAATTTTGTCTCGATTTTTTGCAACAATTTTTATGTTTGGATGTTTATGATGTAGGTTCTGGCTACATATTTTTGTGCGATGTCATGTGCCAACAAATGGATAGAGTGCCAGATAAGAGTTCGTCATACAGCACGTCAAGAAATGAAAGTGAAAAACGATTAGAGAAGAAATCAATGAGATATCATAGCACCGGCCAAAAGTCGGATCATATCGTTGAAGAGCAACAACAACGACCAAAATTACTATTTACACCATCGCCCCAGCAAACAAATACACAACAATCATCGATATCAATTACAGGTTTGAGACGAGAAACTATGAACTGTATAACTGGATAAATTTTTGTATTGCAGTCTCATTTTAAAGGCATATTTTACAAGTTAGATGAAGTACTATTCTCAGTTGTAACCCAGAATGATTATGGACACACTGCTTAAATTGCCACTGTTCCTATTTAGGCACGCTCTTTTGTGAAGCTGTTACAGACTCTTCTTATAATCAAAAACGTTTTATATTCAATTTTCTGAACCGTTAACTATTCGTGGCTATTTTCTAGCACTACAAAATAAAAACGTGAATGTAAAGCTGTATAAAATGTATCAGCCAATCCCAGGTAGTGCTACTGCGACAATTGGTAGTGGACAAAAGAATAGTAAAGTTGTCATATATGCCATGAATAAATTAACTGACGAGATAAAAACAGCTGAATTTATATGTCCCGTTCAATTTGATTTTATGTTTTGTATACCGATTTATCGACTAGTAATGGGTTTTGTTAATAATAAAAGTGGAAAAAAACGTAACTCACATTTGATACTTATTGGTGATGTATCAAGACAATGTGCTGTATTATCAAAACAAGAAATATCCGATCAAGTGCATTCTGTTTTATATATTCATGAACAAATGATTTTGCTTGTAGGTAGGATAAGTTCATATTTTGCGCTACTCTTACGATTAGCAGATACCAAATATTAAATTATCGTCCCTTGTACGGAGCTGGGCAAGTCAAGACCTTTTCAAGCCAAGTTAAAGATCTGCAAGTCAAGTGAGATTTTCCAAAAACTTTTGGATTTAAAAAGATTGAAATACTAGCATATTCAAAAATTTCACATACTACATCACTAATTGGTAAGAATTGTTAGACAATCTACTTTTCAATCCAAAAATGCGTACATAATACTACGTTTCATCGGATTATGGCGTTTTCGTCATTATAACGAACGCACTTTGGTCATACTTGACGAAAGTTTCTTGATGGAGGTACTTCTTGGGAACCGTCGTCACCAAAGTGTGAGTTTTCATCACACACACCAAAAATTTCGTTGCATGAGGCGAATTTTCGTCACAGTAGTGGTGAACTTCGGTCACATTTAAGGAACGTTAAATGCAGTACTTCCTTAGCAAGTGGTTACAGAGTAAGTTCATAAGTTTTGAACAATAAATCTTTGTTCACTGTAAGTTACAATTTATGTAGAAGTGAATTTTCGTTACAGCCACAAAAAGCACTCCGAAAACGTATATATACGCCGCTAGTTACTGTGTCAATACTTACTAAGGAAGTACTGCAGTGTAGTAAATACCAAGAGCAACTCTTACTGAGGGAGTACTCCCGATCACATAATAATCTCACAACAGTTGATTCTAGTGAAAGGGAGTGAAAGACATCGAAGACTGTTAAATAGATAAACTGTGGAGGCGGCGATTTTTATTAAAATTTTATTAAGTTTAATTTAGTGGAGTGCTGAGCAGTAGGTAGATGTTTCTGATATTCTGCATGTCCGCGATAATTTATAGAATATATGGAAAAAATATGATTAATCAAAAACGCACAAAAGTCGCAAAAAAATAATCGATCCTCGATTTTTTTTTGCGATTTTGCACATTTTTGAATATTTCAATTTCTGTAACAAATAACATTAAACCCTTTTTAGCACTTTACTTGTGTAGAGCCAACCTTTCTTTACAAAATGAGATATTTCGCAGTTCTGAGAGATTTACTATAACCAAGTCGGACCTATTTTCCTGAGTGCCCCAACATCGATTATTAATCGGTGCATCCCTACCCGTCCTTTTCTTAAAGATGTTTCGATTTTTAGGTGAACATAGACTAATGTAAAAAAATGGAGAGTCTGGACTCCAACATCAGACCATTCTCAGCATTCGAAACCTAGAGAATTTTTTTAGTATCGCTAATCTCTCTTCTTTCCAGTGCCTTCAAAATATTTTCTAGTCTAATAGAATAAAATGTACTGTTCGTTGTGTTGTTCAAAAACACGAAAAATCCGTGAGATTTGCGATATCTGAAGTAAAATTTCTAGCTCAATTAGATGAAGTTTCCATTAGGTCAAAATTTTTGTTTGGATGAAGAAAAAAAATTTTGGAGGCACTGAAAAAAGAAAAATAATACAGTGCGTTTAGCCTATAAGTAATTTTTCTATTAGCCGGCAATTGAGTCTTCGTTACCTGCTATTGCCCTTGTTGAGATAAGTTGAATAATAAAATTTTAATTAATTTTCAAATTAATATGAATTTGCGCTGTATAACAAAATTCATTATTGATAACTCATTAGGTATTTAGCAAAAACAACTTATCAGATCAACACTTTTCTCTTTTTTTTCAGGTGGACTTGGTCGTGTGTTAGTCTATAATACTCATTCGATTCAATACACATCCCAGCCTATTTTCATTCATGAAATTCCAAATTTACCATTTGAACCAACTGAACCAATTATTCACATGTGTCATGTTACATCACATAAATCTACTGGACTATTATCAGAAAGACATTTTGTACTTTGGCAATATTCACCAAAACAAACTGTAAACTTTGATCTATGTAATCCACATCGTTTTGATTTTTGTCATTGTCATTATAATTCAAGATATAATTACTTCTTTACCGGATTTCAAGATGGTGTCATTATATTATGGACAGAAGCAATTAAACGTTTAAGATACTATCATTCACATTATAAAACAATAACGGGTTTAGAAAGTAGTATGAAAAAAGATATTTTAATATCATCTAGTCTAGATCGTATTATCAACGTATGGAATTTAGGTGATTAAAAAAAGCGGAAAGAAGAGCCATGTAAAATAAATAAGAGAAGAGAAAGTATAAAACTGCTACAAAGAACATAATATGACTTTTTTAAAATCGATATTTATTGTTGTCAAATTTTAAGCTTTCGATATATAACTTATGTCATCATAAATCTACGGCTCTCTTCTCTTATTTAGACAATTAGTTAGTTTTGATCGAGAAAGAATGAAGGATTATAAAGAGCATCAATTAGGATTTTAAATACGCAAGTCTATATCTAATCTATCTCTTTTAGCTACATTACAACATTTATATCGATATGATTGCGGTGAGGAAATTTTACACATTGATGTTATTGCTGATAATTTATATTTTTATCATACGAAAACCAACATATTTGTATTTAAACTCTATTTATTATCGACATTATTTTCATTGACAAATGCACGTGTAAAATCGTTAAGATTAACATTAGGTAGTAATAGAATTGGACGCATAACAGCATTGTTTGACAATGGTTCAGGTGTTTTATTATCGCCTGTTAGCGGATGTTGTCTAACACATATTCCCAATATCTCGAAACATTCAATTAAGCAAATGATACATGATACGAGTCGGCAAGCAAAAAAAGTGCTTTTGTTGCATTAAACTCATGTTCGTCTTTATTCATTTAGATCAAGTATATATACCCTTCAATATAATGGTCAAATAATTCTTTATCGTGCTGAAAATACACCGTGTTCTGCCGAATATATTGTCGAAACAAAAGCTGAACGATATGAAATAACATGTATAGCAATAATAAATCCATCACGGACACATTTAATGAGCATATCGGTCGTCACTACAACAACAAAAAAGTCACTTGAGCAACAAGCCATATTTTTTGGTCATGCCAATGGAAAAATATCATTATTTCAAGGTTATAATCTGTGGCGTTCTTCTCTATATGTTATTCAAATTCTTCTTGTTATTTACTTTAGCTGATAGTTTAGTTATGAAACCGTTTAGTGCTCATGAAAGTACAATAGTTGCCCTAGAAGCATCACGTTCATCAATGGAAGCCACTAATACACCATTTACGACATATGAAGTGTTAATTTCGGCAGGAGAAGATAAGTTTATTCGAATATGGGATGTAATAATGCAGGAAGATGAATCAATCAGTTTAAAATTAATTGTAACACTCGAACAAGAACGAAATATTTCAACATCGCCTATTCATTTTATTGGTATGATCGATAATTTTGTTGTGGCAAATTTTATGGATCAACCATTTTTACATTTATGGCAATTACTTAATATTTCATTAATAACAGGCACTGAAGAGTGGGGCATTATTGAGCATCCAACGAAAGGTTCGGAACATACAGGGGATATACAAGGTAAAATATTACACACAATTTTGATGTCTTAAACCTAAAACGTTTTCTACTGCACTTCATCTGTCTTTGCAACTCACCAGAAACTTTTTGTTTTTTAGCAATTACCGCAACACCCAAATTAAAATTATTTGCTTCATCTGGGCACGAAGGTGAACAACAACTCAGTTTTGACAAAAATTAATATACTACTAACAAATAGTAAACATTCTTTTATTTCCTACTGATTTGCTGAGAAAAGGTCAGCGAAGAAATAGTCGTATAATTGTGTATTTTTATATGAGAAATATAACATAATGGTGTTTCAGACATATTCCACTATTTGATTTCCCGGAATTTTGAAATCAGTTTCTTGAAGGCTTAGGATTTTGAAGACTGTTTTTCTCACATTTTCAAAATTCTATATACTAAGCAATTTTTAACGCTGATGATGAATATTTCGTATAGGATTCATTGCATGAGAGAAACAACAATTCATGCTCAATCGATGTCTCAGATTTGCTTCTAACTGATCCTCTCTTGTTCAGCATGTGTGAAAACCTATGAATCCAAATTGTGAGCCTTTGAGGACTTTTACTTTTTGAGTTCTGAACGGTTTCATAACTAAACTATCAGCTAAAGTAAATAACAAGAAGAATTTGAATAACATATAGAGAAGAACGCCACAGATTATAACCTTGAAAT